TATATATATATATAAAATAAAGAAATATACATTTATAAAGAAAAATATGAACGCGAAAGGATTCTATAAATTAGAATAATTGCGAAGAACAGATAAGTTAACATTCAAACTATTTAGTAATTAATTTTTAGAACACCTTACATGATTTTTTATAAAAATGGTACAAATAGGAAGTACTCCTTTTTTTTCGAAAAGGCATTTGATTACTTGAGTCGTGCACATCGCGTATGCGTGAAGAATCTGTTCCAGATAGAAAATTTTTCTTTTCCTTTGTCATTAAATTTTATTGGGGAAATATTAATAAAAATTGTTAATTGAGACATTGGAATAATTATGTATTTAATATTGATTTGTTTTTTTAGGAGTGTCTATTCATGTATCGCACGTGGTTCATTGTCAGTGGAGTAGCTACTGGCTGATGCACAATGCTGAAGGATCATTTATTGGCTGCGTTCAGTAAAACATTTATTTTGCAAACTATTGAAAGTTTGCGTTAAATTATTAAATTTCTTTTTAACTTTCTAATTTTTAGATTAAAGGAATGGTCCTATCTCAGCAGACAATCATAAAAAGTTGCAAATTTGTGGTGTTCTGCTGAACGCAACCTGCGGATTGTTTTTTTAAACTAGCTATAGACTGTAGGCTGATATTTCATGTGTTTCATGTTATATATATTACACTTATATATATATATGTTATATATATTACACTACATATTTTACATGTTTTTATTTTTACGTTTTTATGTTTTGATTTCTCGAGCTGTCATTTCATTCAAAATTACCGCGATGCAAATGTTTAAATAGCGGTGTCCGCGCCATGCTGCGCAAAATCGTACAAAATTCGTCTGAAAAACGAGCACACCTATGTATGTACAATTGTGTATAATCGAGCCATGTGTTGTGGTTAGGTTATTCCAGGGTTATTCACGTTTACTGAAAAAAATATAAAATTGTAATTTTTAATATATCAATTTATTATTTCATCATGCCTGCTGTAAACAGAATTACGTAAGTTTGTCACGTATCTTGATGTATTTACAGTGTACAAAGTAATATTAAAACATTATTCCTTAATATACATGGAATTGTATATGTAGATTATTGTAGATTTTCATTATGCATTATAATTTTATGCAATATGTTTTTATAGAAAGCCAATTACACATAAGGGTAAAAAAGCTATATTGAAGAAGGAGCCTAAGTTGATAGAAAATGCTAAAGAAGCTTTGTGTCTCAAGGGTAATCGCACGTCGCAAATCGTTACAGATATTATGAAGGATTTGGTAAACAAGTATAATTTTTATTGGCGTTGCAACTTTTATAGCAACAGAAATTTTCAATTATAAATGAAATATATTTTTCCAGTATGATTTGAAGAAACCTAATGTACAAATGATGAAACAGAAAAATGACATACTGCCATTTGAGGATATTACACCTATTGAAAAATTTGCTTTTAAGTATGACGCATCTCTTTTCATGATGGCTACTCATAATAAGAAACGTCCACACAATCTTATAATGGGTCGAATGTACGAACATATGTTATTAGACATGATAGAATTTGGCATAGAAAATTATAAAGGATTGAAAGACTTCAAAGTTGAAAAAATCACCTCAGGAATAAAACCATTGTTGATATTTAATGGTGAACTCTTTGAAAGTAATCATGAATATGGAAGGATCAAAAATTTACTCGTTGACATGTTCCTTAGAGAAGAGGTTCAAAAGATCAGATTGCAAGGTCTTGAACATGTTTTAAGCTTCACAGCTGTCGAGAATAAAATACTTCTGCGTAGTTATAGGTAAGATAAAAGTAAAAATTTATTTTTATTTTTTTCAACTTTTTTATTGATCATTTAAATATATCAATAGTAAAACTATAAAAAAAGTGTAAAATAAATGTTGCAATAACATAAATATGTAAAAGAACAGATCTTATTTACGATCTTAATTTAAAGATCATATATTGATTGCTCTAATAATTTTTAGGATACTTTTAAAAAAATCTAACACGAGAACACCTAGGATAGAACTCGTAGAAATAGGACCACGTGCTGATTTAGTGTGTAGGCGTAACAAGTTTGCCTCTGAAGACTTATTCAATCGAGCTTGTCGGAAACCTAACGCACTCAAGGTATTGTTTTATAAATAATTCTAAATTTATATAAATGATATATAAATTTTTATATATCAATTCAGTAAAGATATATTTAATCTAATAATTGTAATTTTATAGGCAAAGACGAAAAAGAATATTTCTAAAGATACATTTGGAACAACATATGGCCGTATACATATTGGCGCACAAAATATTGTCGGTATTCAGACAAGGAAGATGAAAGGCTTAAAAAAAACATTATCGGAAAAAAATACCCAAAAAAGAAAAATTGCTGATGATAATAACGATGGTGCAAAGAAATTAAAAGAAATTAATGATTGAGAGATTGATTGATTGGGGTATTTACAATTAAATAAAAAGAATGTAATTTTAATACATTTTTATTTAAAATATGATTATTGTTTCCAACTCCAGCTAGTATCATTTTGTTGATCCTGCAATCAATGATAATATAGATCTCATATATAATTATTATTTTAAAACATGATTATAAAATTTTTACCTTTACTGTAATTCCACAAGTAGATAAACATTTTCGTACGTTATCGCATTCTTTTAATAAAATTGTATCTTTTGGTTTTTGCTCAAGTGCTCTGATTCTGACAATCGTCCTGAAGTTCAGAAAATGATCAATAATATCTTCAATTTGTCTATTTTCTACTGTTGATTTTGTGGATCGTGAAATGCCAAATTTTGAGAGAATATTCGAAAGATAATTTGAAACTGCAGCAATCACGCTTACATTATTACTGCGAGACGTTACCTGCAATTAAAAAATAAGTAAATGATTAGTAGATAATATAAATAGTCTAATATAAATAAGATTGCAATATTATAGACATATTAATTATTACTAGCATATTTCTTATATACAATCGATTTACATTATCCTGGTGAAGCATCTTATTTCCTATTCCAACAAGATTTATAATCGCATGCATTGCTTTTGAAGTATCAAAATCATCTGCCAATGCCGAGTAAACCTTACTTCTTGTGTCATGTAAAGTCTAAAAAAACATTTAAATTAATTAATTATTAAATTAATTAATTATTAAATTAATTAATTATTTGTAGTAACTATTGCAAAAAAGTTTCTTAAAATTTTATATTGTATATTAATATCTTTATATACATATACTTGATTTAAAAAAAAAGAATATTTAGCTTTGTAATTTTATAAATTTTATTGCATATTTCTATAATGATGCTAAAAATATAAACTTAGTATACATAGTAATAATTATGAAGAGATTAATAACTTACTGTATATAAAAGATTTTCATCAATTTCACCTGTTTTAAATTTTCCAGTAACATAATTATCACAGTCATTTATGAAATTATCAAGTTTCTTGGTTGCTGACACTGCAGTTTGTATAACTTCATCTGAAAATTCAATACCTGCAACACAAAACTCAGTTCATTACTGAATTAAATTATATAAAATAGTTATTGAACATTATTATATGTACCATTTCGATAATGAGACAAAAGACAAAGCATTCTAAGATTATTTGCTGAATAGTTTTCGAGATAATCTTGTATACTTATGGTGTTCTTTAGACTCTTTGACATCTTTACATCCCCTTTCAGACTTAAATGGCCACAATGAAGCCAGTAATTAACCCATTGATCAACATCGTGATAACAGCAAGATTGTGCTTCTTCATTTTCATGATGTGGGAAAGCTAAATCTATTCCACCACTGTGTATATCTATAGAATTTCCAAAGACTGTGCTGATAAAAAACATACTACTATATAGATCGATATTATCAAATGGGTAAATATGTTAAAAAATTTAAATTTGCTATATAAAACTAATTCTGAAAACATGCATATTATCTTAAACAAATATATAAAAATAAATCTAGAATTAAAGTTGATAAAAAGAATTTTCATATAAAGTATATACAGAAGGGAATCGACTTTCAAAATTACCTTGCAATTGCACTGCATTCTATATGCCATCCTGGTCTACCATAGCCCCATGGAGATTTCCACGATGGTTCGTTTTCTTTTGCTGCTTTCCACAATGCAAAGTCCAATGCTGATTTTTTACCAATAAAATTCTGATCGTTTACAGTATCAAGTACAAGAGTTGATAATTTACCATATTTATTGTACTTGCTGGTATTAAAATAAACAGATCCTGTAAAATCCATACAAAATAATATATAAAATAAATAAAAGTTCGACATTTTTTTTATAGTGATAAAGTTCATATATTAATAAATATTATACCATCTGGTGCAATGTAACCATCATCCTTGGCTATAAGTCTCTCAATAAACTGAATAATTTGTGGTATATAGTCTGTTACTCTACAACGTAAATATGGTTCACGGATATTTAATTTATTCATGTCTGCAAAAAATTCAGACTCAAAATGCCTTGATAAAGTCTCAAAATCTTTTTCACTTTCAATGGAACGTCTTATTATCTTATCATCAATATCAGTTATACCCATAACTAATAATACATCTATATTAAAATAATCTGACAAAATTCGACGAATAATATCGCATTTTATGTAAGTCCTACAAAAAATAATA